CTCTAGGGTATCATGGGTGAGTGGTCGAAATTGTGTAAGCGTGGTGCTTATACGTTGTTTACCTGCGGATACACCCTATATTCTAAGTCATGTGGTAGATCGTAGATGTGACACTCCCGTTGAGTCCTTTGTAGTCGACTCCCCGAATATAGACATACAAGTAGGATCTAGTTACGAAGGAAGACAAGCTCTGTTCTTAATCTTTCTTAGTAATATCTTTTATGTGTAGATATGAAGTTAATATTGGCCACGACTACTAGGTGTAATTGCACTCATCAATGTATGCTTTGACTTATAATTAAGAATGACTTAGGAATTATTCCTCTAATACTATACTTAACCATGCTAATGCCATAGAAAGGAGTACTCTGAGTGATCAATGATTAGTTATTATGCACTATTCATATATATATATATATATATATATATATATACCTCTTGACTTACCCCTGTTGTGAGTAGAATATTGGTTATGGTTTACTTCTCCATCAATAGCATAAGTTATCAATACATGTCCTTGCCAGACCTTCCCTGTGGTAAAAATATAAATAACGATACCTGAAATACTCCTGGATGAAGTACTACAATGGTATATTATCTGTGCGCTTGCAGATCCCTTTCATATACATATATATATACTCTTCCTAGTCACATAAAATAATAAAGAGCAACTTAGTATTATTCTAGTAGTATGCTAGGTAGTACCAATAAGCATCTCTGGCGTCATCACTAGGGATGATAACCTGGTAAAGTAATGTTAAGAGATGTAGACATACATTAGGTAGCTATTGAAACAAGTGACAAGTTAATAAATACTAACAACGCCGCGGCCACCTCCATCCGCCTGCCATGGCCACTATCGACCGGTGACCTCTAGCCACTCCATGGCATCGAGCTCCGCGTCGACGAGCCTCCATTCGTCCAAGCAGCAGGTAGATATTGTGTTGAAAGCACATGTTGAAAAAATATGTTTCAGATGTATATATGTTGCAAATGTTTTGTCTAGATGTTGCAAAAGTAGATCTGGTGTTGCATATGTTGCAAGTGTATGTTCTAAATGTTTCTGCTGTTTCGGACATATGTTGCAAGTGTCTATTCAAAATGTTTCATCTGTTTCAGATGTTTCTTGAGAGTGTTTCATAAGATGTTGTATATGATGCAGTGGCTATACAAATATGTCACAAGAGTATGTTCCAAATGTTCATTTATTTTTAGACGAATGTTGCTGCAATTGTTTCATGGTTCAAACGTATACTCTTGGATGAGATGGCTGGAGTCACGCGGCCCAAGTTTTGAAAGTCGACGACTACGACGCGCCTAGTCGCTAGGCTACGGCCCGGCGCCTGGACTAGGGGGGGTAGTTGCCCCTCAAGTCGACGGGAGCGCCTAGGCGGCGCTAGGCGGCGCCTCCACGCGACTCGGCGGCGCCCAGAAGCCCTAGGCGGCACGGAATCGACTCGAGTCGGCGCGGGTTTCCCAGCGCGCGCAAAATATTACGCGGCGGCCAGCGAGCGCGCGCGTTGGAAAGGTTGGCGCCGGGGGGAAATTGCCACGCGCGCGATGGATAAGGCCGCGTATGGGTACCGAAGCCGCGCGCGACGCTATTCCGCTGCCAGGCGACGCTCCTCTCCGCCGGGAAGCAGCTTCCGCCGGCGCCGACGCTCCTCCCCGCCCGCCAGTCCGTTCCGACCTCGTCCTCCTCCACTCCTCCCCCTCCGCCTTGGCTCGTCCTCCTCCCGCATTAAAGCCTCAAGGCCTCCCACCGCCAACTCCCGCCGCCCAGACCCTCCCGGTGATCATCTCCCTCAGACAGAGCCCGGCAGCCCCAAGGCCGATGCCCAAAGCCGAAGGTATGTCCTCCCCTGCTCTGCTCTGCTCCCTTGAACTGCTCTGCTCTGTTTCCCTGCTGCTCTCCTCTCCTCATGTCATGTTTGCTTTGCTTTTGTGATCTTAGAACTCTTTGCTTTTGTCATGTGTGCTTGTGTTTTGTGTTGTGAGAACTAAGAACTGAGAATCATGTGTTGTAATGTGTGTCTTCTATCCATTTTATGTTCTCTGTTGCTGCCTGTTGTTGTCTTCTACTCTTCTCCATTGCAGTTGGACTGTTGGAGACTTGGAGCATTGCTGCATCAACTACAAGTAAGGAACATCACTTCTGTTATTCTGTATCAACTACAAGTAAGGACTAAGGACCTAAGGTATGTCTATCTAAATTATCATGATTTCTGCTATATAAATATATATATTATGCTATATATATTATATATTATACTAAATTGGCAAAACGCCTAGCAAAACGCCTAGCATCGCCTAGCCTAGCCTAGGCTGGACTAGTCGCTAGGATAGGGGTCATCGCCTAGATTTCGCCTAGCGCCTAGAAAAACTTGGCACGCGGCATGCATCCGCAGATGGGGCGCGTGGATTTCCTCGTGCGAGCGCGATATGGAGCAGGCGAAGGAAGCGGGCGCAGGAGCAGGCGATCCCCGCGTGCGTGGGAGAAGCCGAGCGGGCGCGGGGCTATCCCCACGTGCATGCGTGCGAAAATCGAAGCAACGCTGGCTAGGCGGATGGAACTGGCATGATGTTTTCTCGCGTACCGGGGATGGAGGCACGACGTTTCCCGCGTACGCGTGGGCGCATGAGAAACAGAGCAGGCAGTCAGGCACGGGCGTCCGTCCGGATGTCCGAGCACTAGTATCTCCGAGTCCATTAAGGTGCCTTGTCAACACATTGCAACGTTGTAGAAATTCACAGTGATGGACAGGTTGTTCCCTCCAACCAAACATCACTATTAACCGTCATCTACAGAGACGGTCAGAGTACCTGTCTCTAAAAATCGATCCGTCTCCATTAGTGGTTCCCATAAAACACAAAGACCAAAAACTTATATCATTCATAGGACTCAAACTTGCGGCCGCACAACCTCCGTTAATGGTTCTTATAAAACGCAAAAACCAAAAAATTATATCATTCCTAGGACTCAAACAAGCGGCCTGCCACTACTACACAAAATCTTTTGTGCAGCGTTTCCAAAATGGCCTCGGAGGCGGGCGGCCCGATTGCCCGCCTTGGTTATTCGAGGCAGGGCAGCCGGGCCAGCAACCACCTCGGTTAATTAACCGAGGTGAGCATTGTAAAATGACCGCCTTGGTTAATAAGTATTAACCGAGGCGGGCATTGTAAAATAACCGCCTCGGTTAATAAGTATTAACCGAGGCGGGCACTGTAACACAACCACCTTGGTAAATTAGGCCTAGCTCAGGCCCAAACAAAATCCATTATACCAGGCTCATATATAATCAAGGACTTAGGGTTTCTTCTCAGTCATTCCTCTCCACACAACTGACTCCACACAGCCGTCCCTTCCTCACTTTCTCCCTCCCTCCCGGCGTCCTCTCCCTTCGACCGAGCGAGTGGCACGGGCAATGGGGGCCGCGCCTCCCTCCCTCCCTCCTCCTCCAGCGCGGCCGTGCGACCGCCTCTTCCTCCTCTGACACCCCAGCGTGGCGGGACACTATTATTAATTGAGAAGTTACATGAGAATAAGATTTGAAAAGGCATGTCGCTCGAGAAGAAAAGTAAAATCGACACGCAAAGGGAAGAACTTAATGGCCGACATCCACTTAGATCCAAAACGACCTTGATTAAGGAAAACTATAGTTGCTCTAGTAACGATATGTTATATATGAAAACAAAGATAACATGACACAAAATGACCTATAAAAGTCCATCAAAAACCAATTCGGACGTCTTCTTCCTTCGATCGTCCACTGTGTGACGGAGCTTGAGAATCACACTGAAAAGATAGCAAAGAAAAAGGAACACCTGCAAACACCCTTGCCAAATAAGTTTTGAAGACCGCGAAAGCCATTCACCGCTGACAAGATCTAGTACCTACTGAAAGAACATCGGCTGAGGAAACTCTTTAAAAAAACACAGGTTTACAATCATTCACCATTACCATTAGAAAGAGTGTTGGAGATGCCAAAACTTGGTGTACAATAGAACAAAAAAAAGAGGTCAACCAGTCTATTGTACAAGAAACTGGTAATTAGAGATTCGCACTGGATGAATATGTAACGGCTATAATCATTCTGGTATTGTCTTTGTACTCTGATGTATCCGCTTGAACTACATCAATCCATGGCCCATAAGGCCCAATAATTAGCCCCTAACATCAAGCTACTCTGCCATCCAAACCTTACCCAACGAGTCTCCAGTGAAGTACCATAGTTGCAACCAAAGCTAACTTCAAATCATACTAATTTTTAAATTTGCACTGTTTCATCTTTCATGTAATATCACTATATAACTTCTCTAAAACAAATAAGCTACTAATGCACTATTGCACATCTCTGTTCCAGAAACGGACATACAAACAACTAGCGTCCCTCTAACACCGTTGCGAGGCTCATGTTATTCATAGAACTGCTAGTATTTTCTTCTGTTCCTTGAGTTGTTCCCCGGTATGAGAAATACATTGGCTGTATTGGTACTGGAAGTGGTGTAGTTTCATTCTCAAGCATGGTCACCACCGACAACATGAGTGGCCTACTATTTGGATTGTCTTGCACACATAATAGTCCGATCTCGATACACCGTAAAGCTTCACTGTAGGAACAACTCTTAGCCAGGGATGAGTCCACAAGATCTGTCGCTCTGTCGTCTATCCATAAGCTCCATGCCTGGGCCAATGGGATCAAATCATATAGAAATCAGAAAGGTTTTATTTGAATTGTGAGTAAAAATTAAACATAACACCACGCACTTACATAAGCTAGTAGGCTAGAGAAGCCCTTGCAATGAGTTAAACTGATCTTCAAGCTACTTATAATCTCCAAGACTATGACACCGAAACTATATGTATCTGACTTGACAGAAAACGCGCCATCCATTGCATATTCAGGAGACATGTAACCACTGCTCAAAAGAAGTAAACGATTTGGGTAAGTATACAGGGAAATAGAATTCACTTTAAAAGTGAAGGCGATGGTTACTCACTATGTTCCAACAACTCGATTAGTATTTGCTTCATGCTGGTTTCCACCAAAGATTCTTGCCATACCAAAATCTGATATCTTGGGGCTCATATCCGCGTCCAACAGTATGTTGCTTGTTTTAAGATCTCTGTGAATTATAGTCAACCTTGAATCCTAGTGAAGATAAAGAAGCCCTCTAGATACTCCTTTGATTATCTTGCAACGTGTTGGCCAATCAAGGAGATATTTACCTGCAGCATCTAAATTAAGCAATTCCAATGGTAACCATGTCACATGTTTCTTTTTTGTTCTTCTGTAAAAACTTTATTTTTTTGAAAAATGCAAAATATATAAGTTCATACATACCAAAAATAATGGAATCCAAGCTTCTGTTTGGTAAGTATTCATAAATCAACAACTTCGCATCTTTGTCGATGCAGCATCCAAGAAGCCTAACCAGGTTTCTGTGCTGCAATTTTGCAATCAGAACAACTTCATTTCTGAATTTCTCTACACCTTGTCCTAAACTTTGACCGAGCCTTTTGACCGCAACTTCTATGTTCTGTCCCAGCATACCCTGAATTGTTTCACCATTATTAAATTGAACAAGCAGTGCCATAATTCTCACATTTCTACAGTATATTTAAAAGATGTATTTTTTTCCTAACCTTATAAACCTTCCCAAAGCCACCTTGCCCGAGCATATTTTCCTCAGAAAAATTGTTTGTTGCTGCTGCAATGTCTCCAAAGCTGACAAATGGAAGCTCTACATTTTCATCACCGAGTTCGTATGGCGCAGTCGAGTATCCTAGGATCGCTTTCCTCAAATTATCCTTGTTCCGACGTTTGGCTGACAGGGAAAGCATTTCCAATTGTTATTGATAAACCTTAGTATACTAGTAGTACAAAAATATTGTGCCTGAATTGTTCTTCGTGGTGAAGTTGCTCTCTCTTTTTTTTTTCTCGATCGGTCTGATAGTCTGATTGTACCTCTAAGCTTGCATATCCAAACAAGGTACAGGCCAGCGGCCGTGAGTACAAGCACAGCCGCCATCACTGGAACCAAGATTTTTGCCACACGCCCCCTCTTCCCTGTAGCTGCAGAAATGTATTACAGGAAGTATTAATCGTAGCTGATGATAAGATGATGGATTTTGCCACACGCGGCGTCGACGTTGCACAGGCCGAACGCACCGCACGACGCGTAGTCGTCGCAGGCGTCGCGCGGCAACCATGGGAATTCCTTCCACACCCGGCTGGACGGGATCCACAACAGGACCTGCACCTTGCCAACCTCGTCCAGCACGATGCGGGTGAAGGGCGTGCCGGCCGTGGTGTTGAGGACGTAGGTGACCTCGTCGGGGCCGTCCACCATCTGGATGTAAAACAACTTGTACTGCGAATCCATCTCCGGCACGCCGCTGAACCAGCGACCGTTCCACGGGCCGGCGCGGTACTTGGCGCTGCCTTGCCATGTGACGATGTCCGGCAGGCCCCTTTTGTCCATGACCCGACGGTAGTCCCCCGTCGCCGGGTCGTCCTTCGCCCGCCACGACGTGAGGGACCACTCCAGGCCGGTCTTTAGGTTCTTGCCGAACCTCATGCCGGCGAGCAAGGTGTTCGACGGGTGGTCGAACGACTGCCACTGGAAGGCGGCGCTCCTGCTGCTGCTGCTGCTCTGCTCGCGCACGACAAGGTTGCCGGACTCAAGCAGCTGAGCCACCGAAGAGGCAGAGGCGCCGGTCGTGTTTGAGGACCAGGCGGTCTGGCCAGAGCCGTCCAGAAGACGAAGACCCACCCGGTTACTCATCACCAGGACGCCGGAGGTGGTGTTTAGCGGCGTGTCGCGGTTGGCCACCCACAAGACGGCGTCCGTACCAGACGCCGTGAACCAGATCCCGAGGTACCTCTTGGTTGGCACCGTGGTCGACGGGGAGAAGAAACCCAGGGTGAATGAGCCACCGGCGGAGAGCAGCGTCTCTCCATCGGTGATGTTGCCCCCGCTGTTCAGCGTGTCCAACGAAATGCCGGCGCCGGCGCCGGCGCCGGAGCTTCTTCTGAGAAGCAGTAGTAGCGTGGCAAAAATCAGGGCGAGGAGGTTGAGAACCGCCACGTGCGATGTATCTTTGTCCTTGCACACGAAATCAGGGTGGGGAGGCTGCTAGCTATTATACGAATAATGAAACTGTTACACCGTCGCATTTGCGCAATTAACGCATACTAGACCAGTCACGTCATATCTTCATCCAAAAGTAAATTCACGTCACTTTGTGATGATTTAAACATTTTTAAGTTTAAGTTTATAGAAAATAATATAAATATCTACAACTCTAATTTATTATAAAAACACATTCTACGGTCACTTAATACGCATCATATATATGGTACTTTTAGATAGAGTGAGTACTTGCTAAACAAAAAACAGATCACATCTACGATGTTGCCTGCTGCCGGTTGCGCGTGGGTATCTGAGATAGCCTCTTCCAGAGTGCTCTCCGCTGTCTTCATGGTTAATGTTGTGTTTCGAGTAAACATCAATAAGTAAATTTATGTTATTACGTGTTTAATCTGAATGGTGTACTAAAAGACATAATGTTTATACTGGTTCGGGCAGAATGTCCCTACGTCCAGTTCGTGACTGCTGCTCGTGTTATTAGCACTGAAAAGTTCGTAGTAGGGGTTACAAACGGACGAGAGAGGGACATGTCTCAAGTCTCTGATATAAAGGTCGAATAGGTGCTGAGAGCTTGATGCTGCTCAGCTATGTGTGATGTGATGCGTGATGTGTTGAATCGATCGATCCCCTTAGTGGGGTGCCCTGCCTTCTCTTTTATAGGCCAAGGGAGAGCAGGGATTACAGATGGGAGAAAGAGAAAAACCAGAGACAAAGGAGGTCATTTAAAGACGTCGGGTCTTCCTTTTCCTCTGTGCAGGCCTCGCTGACATGGCAGGCGGTGTCAGGGATAGCTCTACGCTGGGTGCATGTCCGCTAATCCTGATAGGGCCACGCTGGGCATCTATCCGCTGATGATGTCACTTGCTGGTATTTGTCAGCAAGTTGTCACGTCCCATCCCGCCCCGGTGGGCCGCTCGGTGGACCAGGATACTGATCCACGGCCATACAGGGAGTATACGGCGTAGTGACCGCACGTCCGTTACTATAGGTGATGCGAGTTTCCTATTGGACCGTAGTGGTTGTCATGAGCTTCCGTCAGGATCCATGTCCGAGGGCACATGGCGGCGCCCACAGCACTGTAAGACCAATGTCAGTGCCTACAACACTGTTCGGGCTCTGACATACCTGGAATGTCTCAAAGGGCCTTTCTTGTCACATCCTGACGGTACTTTTCTGCAGGCGTGCAGGGTATGGTCCTCGGTATTATGGTTGACTTGAGTGCCCTACCGTATCTGCATGTGTCGTTAGGAAGGAGTCGTGCGTAGACGTCGGGCGGCGGAGGAGCAACCCTCGAGGGTCGGGCGGGCGGAGACAACCCTCGACGCGTCGGGCGAGGCGGAGCCAACCCTCCGGGGTCGGACGAAGCGGAGCCAGTCCTCAGACGTCGGGCGAAGCAGAACCAGTCTTCAGTCGTCGGGTGAGGCTGAGCAAGTCCTCAGACGTCGAGCGAGGCGGAGCTATCCTTCAGACGTCGAGCGAGGCGGAGCTAGTCCTCACCATCCATCGAGGCGGCGGCATCATCCTCGGGAATCAGCTGAGGTGTTCTCAACCCTCGAGGTCGGACTATCGGACGAAATGGAGCCCGTGGCCTTGGTGGTTCGGACGAGGCGGGGCCCACCGGGAAATGTAGTCACGTTCTTGATCGCTCTGATGAATTAGCGTTGATGGGTATCAACTCCACTTCTTCGGGTACCCAACTATTGGTCCCCGACAGTAGCCCCCGGGCGATTCGAGTAGAATCGTCTGGAGGATCTTTCGACTTGCCCGGTAGTGCATGAAGCGCCTCCGTGGGTGTAGCCCCCGAGCCTACAGAGGAGTAGAATACTTCTTCGGAGGTTTTTTCGACTTGCCGGTGGGTGCATCGTGGCGCACCCGGTGGGTGTAGCCCGAGCCCTGCGGAGGAGGAGAATACTCCTTCGGAGGGTTTTTCAAAAGGAGGACTCTGTGGGCCTTGGCTTTTTCTTGTGCGCCCACAGTGCCACAGGGATGGTGATTCCCTTTTGTCGAGGCTCGGACCCTTCAAGGGTGTGGTCATGAGTTTTGATGGTTGTTTAGCTGGATAGTTTGATTGGGGCCCGGTATCCCATTCGCGGGGATCCGATCAGGGTAAGCCTGGCTGAGACTCAATCGTGGGTCGAGATGCCCGTGGCGCTCGTGCGCCTGGGCGCTGGCCACTTGCGAGGCCTAGCTCTTTTCACCCTTCATTGTAGGGGTGTTTGGAGCGGCTGTTGGACCCGTTGATGGGCCAACTGTCGGACTCCTAGGCCTAGATGGGCCGTAGATGCACTTTTGATCCATATTCCTCTTACTCGTAACGAGTCCCGGTCCACCCGGGTAGGCAAAACGTCCGCCGAGTTTCTCGAAGGAAAGGATAGGGACTACGTGCGCGTATCCCGCGACGTGACATTGTGGCAGATCATGGGAGGCGTGGAGATCTAGGCGGACGGTTGGTTTTCTCGCATCCGTCGCCCTTATAAAACCAAAAGGTTCGCCCCCAGGGTTTCATACTTTGCCTCTTTGCCTTCGCATCTACCACCTCCGCCGCCAGTTGCCTAAGCTCCCCGCATCCGCGTCTCAGCCATCGTCAAGTTCACATCCACCCACCCCTATCTTCCAATGGAGTCGTGGTGCTGCTCTGAAATCACCCTCCAGCGCCTGGATTGCCTTGTTCGCCGCCGTCTTCTCTGCGCACGGACCGCCGCCGAGGAGTGGCGGCTGCCCAGTGAGGAGGATGTGTCGTCGCCGCCCGATGGCTATGTTGTCTTGTTCGCGCGCTTCCATGAGCGCGGGTTCGCCACCCCCCATACAGATTCCTTCTTCGAGGATCACGCACTATTACAAGATAGAGCTGCAGACCTCAACCCTATGGGATCCAACACATGGCGGCGTTTGTCGCCCTGTGTGAGGGATTCCTGGGGATCAGCCCCCACTTTGATCTGTGGCGGCACTTCTACGCCGTCACCCTCTAGAAGAAGAGGGAGAAGAGGCAGGAGCTGAATATGCCGATGGGATGCACTGGCATCCAGCTTCGGAATAACCGGGTCGGCAACTACCCGGCAATGCGGCTGTCGACCTCCAACAAGGGGTGGCATTCGCATTGGTTTTACCTCAAGAACGATGCCGCCCCCCTTGTCGGAGTTTACCGGGCGCTTAATCGAAGAGGCCCCAGATTCCTGGATGAAGTGGGGTGTCCTAGAGAAGGACAAGAAGAGGATCCAGGTCCATCTCGCCGCCATCTACTTCCTGAAGGAGAGGGGGCTGAAGGGGTCGGGAATCATCGGCGCCTACCATGCGAGGAGGGTGGCGCCACTGATGAGCCAAGGCTTCCCTATGCGATGGCGCCTGTGGCTTCATTCGATGGGACGACGCTTGCCGAGGAGGCGCTCTCCCCCTCCGAAGTCACGCAGCGTATCCAAGAGACGATGGAACCTTCTCGGGACAGCGTGGGAAACCCTCTTGATTTTGTGTACCCGGTGCCGGGGCATCCCCCAATGCGGCTGGAACCAGGGTACATTGTCCTTGTAAGTTTTCTCTCTCTTGTGCCTTCTTCTTCAATTGAACTTCGGACCCCTTGATACTGACATTGAAATTGGGGGACCAGCCGAGGGACCTCATCCTCATGGATCTCTTGGCTCCGTTGCTAAGGTATCCGTCCATGAGGGCGGCGAACCACGCCGAGGCCGAGCAGTAGAGGAAAGCAAAGGAGGACAAGAAGAAGAAGAAGAAGAAGAAGAAGCAGAAATTGCGTGCGCAGGAGCGAGGGGAGGAAACTGATAGTGACAATGACGACGACGAGGAAGGAGATGATGAGGTAGTTAACAACATCGAGCATGGTGGCTTGGAGAGCGAGGACATGCTGACAGGCACCCGCTCATCCTTGCAGGGGTCAGGACCTTTCCCTTTTTATGGAGGGGAAAGCGCGTCCGCGAGGCCGGTGGAGACGGGCTGGACCGTCGGCCTGCCCTTAGAACCAGCAGGGGCGGGCGGATCCACCACCCCGCCCGAGGTGCCAGCGGAGGGGGGTGGCCCCGCCGCCACGCCTCAAGATCCAGCAGGGGTGGCGGATCTACCGCCACGCCCGAGGTGCTGATGGAGGGGGTGGCTCCGCTACCACGCCCTAAGAGCCAACAGGGGCAGGTGGATCTACTACCACGCCCGAGGTGCCGACGGAGGGGGGTGGCTCCACCGCCGTGCCCCAAGACGCAAGGGAGGCGAGCCCCTCTACCCGGGAGCAAGGGGCGGGTTCAAAATGGCTCCGCCCCGATGAGGTGGAGCAAGGACCTGGGCTTCATCCCCCAAACGTATCCTCCGCCCAACAGCGCCAATGTAAGTCATTGACTCCTCTGTTTTCTCTGTTTTCTCCATTTTTAGCATGACTTATGCCTTTTGTTTCTTGCAGTGTCTTGAGATGGGGCAACCTTTTGGCGCTGGCGCCCAAGAAGAGCGTCGCCCTTCAGGCGAGGCGGCGGCCGTTGGCCGACGTCGCTCCCGTTTCGGGCGGGAGCGAAGCCGGCATTACAACCTCGTTGGCCAATCAAGCGCCGCCCGTGGTGGCGCCTGTGCCCTCGGCGGGTCAAGTGGGTGCCGGGACTAAAGGAGCACCCTCGAAGATCACCGAGCAATCGGCGATGGAGGTGATTCCGCTGCCGACGTCGGAGTGGACGGAGCTGCCGCTCGCGCTTGTGGCGCCAACTGCGGTGGGCGCGATGCTGCCGGTCGAGGCCCCACCGACGCAGGCGGAGGTGGCAGCAACTGTGACAAGCTAGCCACAGTCGGATGCAGCTGTGGTGGTGCCAGAGGAAGCGGCGCGATCCGCGCCACCGGTGGCCCAAGTGACGACGCCCGACGTGGGCCGGACGGAGTGGGACGCGGCCGAGGGGTCCCTGAACGTCATGGTGGTGGCGGAGAGGACCGGCGGGGAGTCGCCCCTGGCCCTTACATCGGGAGGCAGCCAC